CGCTGTTCGTTTGATCCTTAACGCCTCTGTTACTTGCTCTTCCGACGCTCTCCAGGTGAGTCGTGTATCAACTTCCCCGTATCGCTTTTCTTAGTCTCGACCTGCGGCGGCTGAGGGGGGAAAAATGAGCGTTATTTGTGTTGTGTTTTTGTGTGTGTATTAACAGGATTCGGTAATAGATGAGTGTATTTACATGTCCAAAGTGACTGTCGCTTTTTCGCTATCTCTGGTGCGTTTTAGCGCTAACGTGCTAGGCTAACGAGGATAAAATTGCAATTGGTAGTTGAACAAACTAGCTTTTTATACAGTTCACGGAATATATCAATCCCCTTATATTACATATATCCATAACTAGTACCAAACTAGTACTAGTATCGTAAGGAAAACAGTACACTAATGAAATAGAGTGGGTATGTATTGTTTTATCCGCAAGAGATTCCGAAAGTTTAAAATCCCTTTCATTTTTTGTTTAAAATCCCTTTTATTTTTTGTTTACCTTTGTATTTGAACATTATAAGAAGGGAGGTCGCGAAAATAGTTAAGAACGTACTCATAACCTGTCAAAATTTAAATACAGGTTTGCAGTTGGTGTTGCATAAAGTTGCCTCTACCGCGAAGAGAATGGCATACAGAGAAATGCACACACTCACACGCAAGAATAGATGAATAGATAAATATAGATATATAGATATATGCATGTGTGTGTATGGGTGTGTGTGTGTGTGTGTGTGTGTGTGTGTGTGTGTGTGTGTGTGTGTGTGTGTGTGTGTGTGTGTGTGTGTGTGTGTGTGTGTGTATGTGTGTGTGTGTGTGTGTGTGCATGTATATACACACACACAAAAAGGGTGATTTTTAAATTTCTTAATCTCTTGTGGATAAAACCGATTATACAAATGCACATTCTATTTCATTAGCATATTGTTTTGCTTACGATACCAGTTTTAGGTTGCCACTAGTTATGTGAATATGTGTAATATAAGGGGATTGATATATTCCGTGAACTTTATAAAACGCTCGTCTGTGCACCAATCACATGCAACTTTATCCTCGTTAACTTTGCACGTCGGCGCTAAAATGCACCAAAATAGAACATGCACACACACGCACGCTCACACACACACACACACACACACACACACACACACACACACACACACACACACACACACACACACACACACACACACACACACACACACTGTGTGTGTTTGTATGCATGTATATATACGTATGTATACATACATGCACATGTGTGTGTATATATATGCATATATAAACATATATAAATACATATGTGTGTGTGTTTGTGTGTGTGTGTATAGCATATATATATATATATATATATATATATATATATATATATATATATATATATATATATATATATACAAACTCACACATACACACACACACAAATATACAGACAGATATAGATATACATTTATTTATTCAGATATATGTACGTATGTATATACAGTCCTTATCATAACAGGGAAATAAATATATAATGTCGATAATCCTAGCTAGGAAACTGATACCTGGTAACGCATCGCGGAAGTGTATCTCTTTGCAAAAAGCGAAGGTCATTTTTTTTTCTTGTGATGAGCGATTATAGATTTTTTTTTTTTTTAGTTTATCCCCATGTAGAGAGAGAAAAAAACAAGTTTATGTTTTCCGACTCATTAGAGTAGTTTTATTGCAGACGGATGAATCTGGTTAATACTTGAAATGAAGATTCCCATATGCTATACCATATCTGTATGTATATAGATATGCTACACGTGTGCCATGTGTGCGTGTACTGACTTTTGAGAGAAATGTTGTCGGGTATAAGAACTAATTCATAGCTCAGAGCAACATTGTAAGAGGGATGGACTTGGGCGGTTCATTGAAAGGGGTCTTAACTTGCTGGTTTATTGCTGGAGATAGATACGAGACCCCCAACAGACCCCCAGGTGTACGCGTAAGAGGAGCATAATGTTGTGAGCACCGCTGTCACCAGATATAACGTAAGAGATGATCTTGGGCGGTCAATGAAAGGGGTCTTGGCTTGCTGGTTTATTTCTGAAGATAGATATGAGACCCCCAAGAGACCCCCAGGTGTACGCGTAAGAGGAGCATAATGTTGTGAGCACCGCTGTCACCAGATATAACGTAAGAGATGATCTTGGGCGGTCAATGAAAGGGGTCTTAACTTGCTGGTTTATTGCTGGAGATAGATACGAGACCCCCAACAGACCCCCAGGTGTACGCGTAAGAGGAGCATAATGTTGTGAGCACCGCTGTCACCAGATATAACGTAAGAGATGATCTTGGGCGGTCAATGAAAGGGGTCTTAACTTGCTGGTTTATTGCTGGAGATAGATACGAGACCCCCAACAGACCCCCAGGTGTACGCGTAAGAGGAGCATAATGTTGTGAGCACCGCTGTCACCAGATATAACGTAAGAGATGATCTTGGGCGGTCAATGAAAGGGGTCTTAACTTGCTGGTTTATTGC